AAAGAAAGAAAGAAAGAAAGAAAGAAAGAAAGAAAGAAAGAAAGAAATTATATGAAAGAAATTATATAGTCTTCAGGACCTAGCTCACATCTCTCTTTTCTAATAACCTCCCTGCCCTCCTTAGGTACAAAGAACATCTCTACAAGTACAACCAGCACTCTAATTCCTGTCTGTAACTCCCTTATGATTTCTATCTCTTCACTTCTATCAATGCCATACTCCTTTTTCACCAAGCTGTAAGCTTCTAAATATCTATTTAACTTACTTACTTCAAAAATTTCTCATTCGGTTCTTTGAACAGTAACATCAAGAAACATTTCTTGAATCACATACTGTAAAGAAAAAAAAAGTCAACGAGGTGCCTTTTATCTTACATTAGATTGTGAGCTCTTTGAGTGCAAGCACCTTCTCACATTCCTTTTCTTCCCCAGCCTATAGCACAGTGCATGGCACTCGTGGGATATTTGTAAATGAATGAGTCCACAAAAAAACACGTGTCTAGTGCCCTATTGTTTCCTGGAGATTCACATTCAATCTCAGATGACTTGTCATACTATCTGTCATTGGGGCACCTGGGTGGCTCAATGGGTTAAAGCCTCTGCCTTCATCTCCGGTCATGATCCCAGGGTCCTGGAGCTTGCTTCCTCCTCTCTCTCTGCCTGCCTCTCTGCCTACTTGTGATCTCTTTCTGTCAAATAAATAAATAAAATCTTTTAAAAAATAATTATTATTATAATATCTGTCATAATATCTGCTCACATTTACTGAGCACTGTTTTAAGCCCTCATAGCACATTACAATAGAGACAAATTTATTATCATCCCATTTACAATTAGGAACTTAGGTACAGAAAGATTAAGGTTAAAGGTTAAAAAGAAGTAAGTTGAGATTTGAATATTGACAGCCTGGAATCCTGAGCTTTTGTTCTTTATCCATACCCACACTGACTCACTATTCAAAATACAAACCAAAACAAACATTCCATTTTATAGGAAACTGAGATCAGTTGGCAAGTATTCTAACTCAGGATCTTGAGAGTCATCTCTCTCATCTTATTGTTTCCCATAGATACTTAGTGTATCAATGAGCAAATAAAGATGAGATCTACGAACACAAAGATTTTGGTCTATTGTGTTCACTGTGATAATCCACCACCTAAACCAGTGCACTTATCAATGTCAATGATTTGAATAAATGGTCATTTGGTAGTGAAGAACATTAGTAAATATCTCTTGGATCAAGTCAACTCTGAAAAATCGTCCATTAAGTTTCTAGATCCTGTAAGGTGAGACATATACTCTCGAAACCCACAGAATTACAGCAATCAGGATACTTGGAATAAATAGCTCCTTGGAATAAATAGCTCAGTGCAGTTTTCTAGGAGGAGGGTGAACATGCAATGATAGAAGCATCATCTTGCTGTAGTTATGACAAATCTTACATAAAGAAGGGAAAAATACATGCATATATATGACAAAGTAGGAAATAAATTATCTGGAAATTTAGAAGAAATGAAAAATCATTTGCCTCAAATATAGTGATTTCCTAGGTAAAAGTCCTGTTATTAACTTTTAAAAATTATCTGATTGGTTTACCATTCCTCTTCTATGTGCATAGAAGAGCCCCGGCTCGAGGTTTGCTCCCATTCAGAGCCCCTTCATCTCCCATGCAAGTGATAACTGACTTCAAGCAGCTTTATCATCTGTGCACTTTTTCCAACTGGTCTTCACTCATTGTCTTTGTGGAAAGGTCTGACCTCTGTCCGATGCCCACATAATATTGGCATTGTCTCCTTCCATATCTTGTTTCTGCTCTTCGAGTTCTGCAGTAGTAGAATATGATTCTTTTGCAGCACTAAAACACACATAATCAAATAGGGATCTGTTTTATAATACAAGTAACAGTTGTATGAAATAACCTCACCTCCAAGGTGAGGTGCCTTTTTTTTTTTTAAAGATTTTATTTATTTATTTGACAGACAGTGATCACAAGTAGGCAGAGAGGCAGGCAGAGAGAGAGAGAGAGAAGGAAGCAGGCTCCCCGCTGAGCAGAGACCCGATTTGGGGCTTGATCCCAGTACCCTGGGATCATGACCTGAGCTAAGGCAGAGGCTTTAATCCACTGAGCCACGCAGGTACCCCATGAGGTACCTTTTCTACAATGCTCCCCAGCTCCATCAACATAGTTCTCCTTTGAGCTACCTATTGAGAGAGAATGGCCACAATGTTTCCTATTGTTAAAGTTACTACAGCTTCTTATGCTCTCTCTTACCTACAGCACATTCTTTAAAGGTCTGTGCTAACCATTTGCCAGGCTGTCAGCAGGCTGCCTGGTGAAGATGAATTTAATAAATTTAGTCACTAATCTCAATCTCTTTCTCTCATAAACTAGCCTGACTACAGGAAAAACATGGCGGACGACGTGGACCAGCAACAAACCACCAACACCATAGAAGAGCCCCTGGATCTCATCAGGCTCAGCCTGGATGAGCGAATTTATGTGAAAATGAGAAATGACAGAGAGCTTCGAGGCAGATTACATGCTTATGATCAGCATTTAAATATGATATTGGGAGATGTGGAAGAAACTGTGACTACTATAGAAATTGATGAGGAAACATATGAAGAGATATATAAATCAACAAAACGGAATATTCCTATGCTTTTTGTCTGGGGAGATGGTCTTGTACTAGTTGCCCCTCCATTAAGAGTTGGCTGAAACAAAGAATTTATCGTGTCTGGAATATAGGAGTTTTTGTATGATTGCCTCTTTAAATGTAGAAGACATTCAAAAAAGAAACCTGCATAAATTTTGATATTAAGAAGTGACCAAGGATTCTTCCACTCCTGAAATAAGTTGATTTACAGATAACCCAAAAATTCTTAAGCTAACAGGCATTTTAATTTTTTTTCCAATGCTTTCAATAAATGTGATCACCAAGAAAAAAAAAAAAACTAGCCTGACTACAAATTCTTTTTAACTGACAAACAATAAATATCTACATTGTGCAAAAAGACTTTTGACTCAGTTATCTTTATGTTAAAGAAATTTATAGAAATACAGAAATACAAACCTTTTTAAAATCATGGCCAATTACATAATTTACCAACGATGTGCATCCTTTACCTGCCAGAATTTTTTGTTTCTATTTATTCTATTCATGAAGGAAAGAAATGACTGCATTGATGCCCTTTACTCTCCCTAAGGGAAATGTAATGCCCAAGTAAGGAAAAAGAAAAATTCTTCAAGAAGAGAAATTCTGTATCAGAAGCTCAGCTGTAATTTAAGCTTCACCAAGATGCTCACATATTTTTGAAACCTTATTGACAAAAGTGGGAGTAAATCTAACAAAGAAACTCCCACTTAGTTCTAAATCTTAATGTTTGTTTTGTTCAACTTAATCATTGTTGGCTTTTGCAAGGGGCATTGGCTATTTCTAGTTTATTTTTAAACATGTAGAGGAAATAAGATGCAAAGTGCAAAGCTCTTGGGAATTTTCTTGTCATTCATATCTCAAGTTTTCCTACAAGTGAGAAAACAGGGAGGGTCTACATTTTTTTGAAAAGCATTACATCTGTAAATATCTCCTCCCATTCTGTGGATTGCCTCTTTGTTTTGTTAACTATTTCCTTTGCTGTGAAGAAGCTTTTTATCTTGATGAAGTCCCAAAAATTCATTTTCACTTTTGTTTTCCTTGCCTTTAGTGACAAGGCAAAAAAAGAGGTTGTCCTGAAAGAAGTTGCTGTGGACAATGTTTAAGAGGTTACTGCCTATGTTCTTCTCTAGGATTTTTTTTTTAATTTAATATAATTTTATTTTTTTCGGTGTTCCAAAATTCATTCTTTATGCACCACACCCAGTGCTCCATGCAATCTTGTCTCACATTGAGGTCTTTCATCCATTTCGGGATTATCTTTGTGTATGGTATAAGAGAATAGTCAACTTTCATTCTTCTGCATATAGCTGTGCAATTTTCCCAGCACCATTTATTGAAGAGACTGTCTTTTTTCTACTGGATTTTTTTTCCTTTTTCCATTGGATATTTTTTCCTGCTTTGTTGAAAATTATTTGACCATGGAGTTCAGGGTCCATATCTGGGCTTTCTATTCTGTTCCATTGGTCTATGTGTCTGTTTTTGTGCCCTATATCAAATGCTAATGATGTACTATATGGTGAATAACACAACATAATAAAAATGAATAAATAAAAATTTAAAAAATAAAACTGATTGGCATTTAGCAAAAAGAGAAGGAAAGAAAGAAAAAGAAAGAAAAAGAGAAAGAAAGAAAAAGAAACGAAAAGGAAAGAAAAGACGTTATATTACCAGAAAAAGAGAAGTTTGTTCAGTGAGACCAGTTTTGTGCCAGACACTGGGTTGAGATCTGGGGATATAAAACTGAGTACAACGTGTTCTCTGTGCATGATCTAGTGGAAAAGATGAAACTCAACTCTGACACAATGAAATCACTACCCTAGAATCATTTCCAAAATCTTGTAGGAACATAAAAGAAACAGCTCTTGCTCTTCCCAGATGGTTGAGAAGCACAGGTAAAGAGGCTATGCAGCTTTTGCCCTGGAGAAAGAGTAAAATTTTCTCAAGCAGTGGGACAGTCCTTCTCAAATCCAAATCCAAAAAGAAAAGAAGTTAAGAAAAAATGAATGAAAGAAAGGAGGAATAGAGAAAGGCGGCAGAAAATACTTTGCTTTTATCTAAATTGCCTACTCATTGTAGGCTGATTTTCTCATAATAAAATCACATAATTGGAATTTGGAAAATATTCTGTCAAACTGACCACTTAATATCACCTAATCAACAGAAAATAATGCTGAAGAAAAAAACATCTTAAAGTCTTATTTTTATTTCCAATTAATGCAATCAATCTGCTATTTGATATATTTATTTATAAAGTTGCCCTTACAGAAAGATCTGGCTAGATATTCCAATGGTATCACAAGATGAGTGGTCTCAGTGAAACAAGATGATGGCTGGAGTTGGTCTCTCCACCCCAGAGGCTCTGATGACTTTCTGACGATCCCTCTGACTCATAACACCAAAATAATTCAAGCTTCGATATTTATTTATAACCTCAAAAATACCTTGAAGACTCATAATCCAGGCTACTCTATTATTTTAGTAATTATGGCAATCAGAACTAAACTTAAATGCCCAGCATAGCACAGCAGCTCATAACTTTGAAGTTACAAAGGCAAGAAGAGGAAAGTCGTAAGAGGAAATAAAACAAGAATTGGACCAGTTTGGCTTTTCACCATTCCTGATTATGCCACTGTCCCAGTTATATTCTGACATCAGTGATTGGAAGAGTAGAAAAGTCAGTCATACAGTGACCTAGTTACCATCCGCAGCTAGACCAGGTTGAATGAGAAGGTCATGCACGGTGGTGACAGTCGTGTTTCCACTAACTTTCTGTGGTTGTTGCTTGAATAAACAGAAACAAAAGCCTTCACAGAAGCTACTACTGCACATTAATTTTTTATTTAAAAATTTTGGTAATTGTGAATATAATATATGATCATTGAAGAAATTTTGGAAAACATGTAAAAAAGAAACAAGAAAATATCCAGAGATACTGAAGGAGACTGCAGAAAGATTTTATCCTATTTATTACAGGGAAATATTATTTGGAAGTAATTTTATTTTTTATTTTTTAATTTATTTTATTGAAAGTCAATTAATTAACATGTAGTATATTGTTAGTTTCAGAGACAGAGTTCAGTGATTCAGCAGCTGCATGTAACACTCAAGAGGTGGGTGGAGGAATGGAAATGTGGTTTTAATGATTATAGTTTTTATGTATTATTCCATGGTCTATGTTAATATTCTTTTATTTTTAAAAATGAAGATGATTTCCAACTTTTTCCTTTTTTTAACATTTAAATTTTTTTTCAGTTTTCCAAAATTCATTGTTTATGTACCTCACCCAGTGCTCCATACAATATGCGCCCTCCTTAATACCCACCAAAAGGCTAACCCAACCTCTCACCCCCCTCCCTCCAAAACCCTCAGTTTGTTTCTCAGAGTCCACAGTCTCTCATGGTTTGTCTCCCCCTCCAATTCCCCCCAACTCACTTCTCCTCTCCTTCTCCCAGTGTCCTCCATATCATTCCCTATGCTCCACTGCTCATATGGCAATTCAGTAATGTGGCAGAATACAAAATCAATATACAGAAATCAGTTGCTTTCTTATACACTAACCATGAAATATAGAAAAGGAAATTAGAGAGGATTCCATTAACTATAGCACCAAGAACTATAAGATACCAGGGAATAAACCTAACTAAGGAGGTAAAGGATCTGTACTTAAGGAACTACAGAACACTCATGGAAGAAACTGAAGAAGACACAAAAAGATGGAAGAACATTCCACGCTCATGGATCAGAAAAATAAACATTGTTAAAATGTCTATACTGCCTAGAGCAATCTATACTTTCAATGTCATCCCGATCAAAATTCCACTGACATTTTTCAAAGAGCTGGAACAAACAATCCTAAAATTTGTATGGAACCAGAAGAGACCCCGAATTGCTAAGAAATTGTCAAAAAAGAAAAATAAAACTGGGGGCACCATATTGCCTGATTTCAAGCTTTATTACAAAGCTGTGATCACCAAGACAGCATGGTACTGGCACAAAAACAGACACATAGACCAGTGGAACAGAGTAGAGAGCGCAGATATGGACCCTCAACTCTATGGTCAAATAACCTTCAACAAAGCAGGAAAAAATATTTAATGGAAAAAAGACAGTATCTTCAATAAATGGTGCTGGGAAAATTGGACAGCTATGTATAGAAGAATGAAAGTTTACCATTCTCTTACACCATACACAAAGATAAACTCTAAATGGATAAGAGACCTCAATGTGAGGCAGGAATCTATCAAAATCCTAGAGGAGAACATAGGCAGTAACCTCTCAGACATAGGCCACAGCAAATTCTTTCCAGACATGTCCCCAAAAGCAAAGGAAACAAAAGCGGAAATAAACTTTTGGGACCTCATCAAGATCAAAAGGTTGTGCACAGCAAAGGAAACAGTCAACAAAACAAAGAGGCAACACACAGTATAATAGGAGAAGATATTTGCAAATGACACTACAGACAAAGGGCTGATATCCAAGATCTACAAAGAACTCCTCAAACTCCACACACACAACACATTAAAATGGGCACACACACAACACAATCACATTAAAAAATGGGCAAAAGACATGAACAGACACCTCTCCAAAGAAGACATACAAATGGCTACAGACACATGAAAAAATGTTCATCATCACTGGCCATCAAGGAGACTCAAATCAAAACCACATTGAAATACCACCTTACACCAGTTAGAATGGCCAAAATTCACAAGACAGTAAACAATGTGTGTTAGAGATGATGTGGAGAAAGGGGAACCCTCTTGCACTGTTGGTGGGAATGCAAGTTGGTGCAGCCACTTTGGAAAACAGTGTGCAGATTCCTTAAGAAATTAAAAATAGAGCTACCCTATGACCCTGCAATTGCACTACTGGGTATTTACCCCAAAGATACAGATGTAGTGAAAAGAAGGACCATCTGTACCCCAGTGTTTGTAGCAGCAATGGCCATAGTCACTAAACTGTGGAAAGAACCAAGATGCCCTTCAACAGACAAATGGATAAAGAAGATATGGTCCATATATACTATGAAGAATAGTATTATGCATCCATCAGAAAGGATGGATACCCAGTTCTGGTATCAACATCATGATGGGACTGGAAGAGATTATGCTGATTTCCAACTTTTTCTATAGTAACTTATGCTAAAATGAATGTCCTAATTTTAA